GGAACATAAATGTCATTGGTTGTTATAAATTATGATTCAAAAGTAGGATGAAAGCTACTTGATACAACAATACAAAGCCCACTTGCTCTGTCCTATAATAATCAGGTGGTTGCACTTGTGACAATTTTCTAGTCATTTATTTCATTGGTCATTCAACTTTCATCTTTGTTATTTAAATGTCATTGAACTTCTATTTGTTTGTCTATGATCACTAAATTATTTTTAAAAAGTGATATCCATTCATCATCGAAATAAACTCTATTAAAGAGGCTATCGATATTGTTAATGAAAATCCTACATGATATAAACATCGTCAACTTTATTAAATTGGACAATCATGTTTCCATATATGAATATATGATCATTGAACTTTTCCTCATCTTATTGAATGATCATTGAATTTTAAAACGTTTTCTCATGATTAGTAAACTTTTATAATTGTTGACGTGATCCACTTTTATATTGGTTTAAAGACATATAAAATTGGTTTATGGAAATGCCACCCAGCAACATAGTAAGTCTCACATTTTCGACAAATTTCAAATGCGTGACATTCTTCTCAACAATTCTCGTAATGTTGTTAGTATCCCCTTCTTGTACAAAAAATGAAAATTATTACTAAACTGAATTGATGCATCACTTCATATATGATACTGATTATTGTGACCTTCTAAATCACAAACACCACATAACATGGCTAGCTGACCAACACTCTTCATTTTATGCACAATCAAATGTTATGTCACTGCATAATTTAATGTTACGTAAGAGTATTATTGACTATAAACAAAAAATATAGGGATAAACTATGAAATTAAATGTTTCTCACATATCCACACTTTTTATATATAGTACTTATATTCACACCACAATATTTATTAATTGCATCACATTTCAATTACAATGAAGGTTCCCAAGTTTTGGTCATTTTCGCACTTATACATCCTACTTTTATTCATTGTATTTTTATGTTCAACCTTCCATTAATTAACACATTTTGTCTCTATCGAAATCAAGAAAATCCACTAAGATAAAGTAAAAAGATTTATTTCTCCACACATTATAATGACTAATAAGCAAGATGAACAATAAGTACAAAAATTCAATGATATACTTCCCCACGCTAACAAAATATTTGGACATAAATTGTCATTAGATATAAGATGTGCTAATTAATTGAAAGTTACATATTAAAATACAACAAAAAATTTGAGGACATTAATGCAAAAATTGGGGTAAACTTTAAATGTTCTTTGTAATTTAAGTTATGGTGGAGTTTATAAAAATTATTGTGAATATAATTACTCTTTTATATATTGTTTGTTTATGTGTACAAATAAAGCTCCATATTTTATAATTACACAATTTTCGTCCAATAATAGTATCTTTATATATTTAATATATTTCCATATGTTTTGTTAACTAGCCCCTATTTGGCTCCATTTTATCCAAAATACATTTTTCTCTCATCTTTTTAACTTAACATTCTCCAATAAAATAATATTCCTCATAAATCCAATTTTTTTTTTTAACTGTATATTTTTCAAAAAATTAATATTTCAAAATACATTTTTCCCTCAAAACACAATTTATTGGAGCCCAAACAGGGTCCTAATATTTGAGTTAAAAGTTTGTGAATTGATAAGAAGAGAGTCACTGTTGTCAGGGTAGAAGCCCATATCCTGCCGACTTGGGCTTTACTGTAATACCATTAATGGACCAGCAGATATTGGGCTCAACTTGTAAGTATTTCCACTTGGATTAATCTTCTTGTACATAGGGGAATTAATCTTCTTGTACACCATTATGGACCCCCCTATGTACCCATAGCATAGCCCTTTCCACTTTTGGCTTTGGGTTCTGCTTTCTTGTAAAAGGAAAGAAAAAACAACCATGCTTCTTGTAAAATCCTGTCACATGGTGGCACGTTATCATTATACAGTTTAAAAAATAATTTATCTTTCCATTAGATTGGATCCATCAGTTCCTGGGAGAGGATTTGGTCGTGGAGGCAGACGGTTTATGCCGGGCCACACAAAAAATATGCTGGAAGCAATCGTCTCCACCATGGGTGGAGCCATGTACTGTCCAGTGCAAACGAATGCCCGCACTGGACTTTTGGCCCAAGCCCATGGTCAATCCATTTTTTTTTTTTTTTTTAAAGTATGTTTTTCATTTATTTATAGCCCAGCCCATACACTAATTTACCCCAACTCCAAGTGTACGGCGACATTTTCTAACTCTTTCCAATTAGCAAGAAATTAAAAAATTTCTTTAAATCTATTCTTGTTTTGAAATATTTTCAAAGTTCATTTCTTTTCTAAAACCTACATTTTCTTAGGCCCTCAAATTTGCAACAAAAATTTTCTTGATCATGTGATTTTTCTGTTTAATATTAATGATTTTGATTATGTGAATGTTGAATATTGGTAATATTTGTAATGGATTCTTGAAATTTTGATTTTTTGTCAATTAGTTAAACAATTGGGAAGTACTACATGTACATAATTGTTTACATAATGGTATCCATAATTACACGTGGTACTAGATCCAACTTTTAATTCAAATCTCACACTTGCACATCAACAATTGAATGCTTGCCACATCATATTATGGACACCATTATGTGCAATAATTATGTACAAGTAGAATTTTTCTAAACAATTAGTGATGACTTTATAGTGTTCTACCAATTTGCAAAAATCAGTAGTTCTTTTCTTATCAACTAGTACTTAATTGTCACTTGTGGTTTATTTTAGTGTGAAGTGTCAATGTAAAGATTATTTTAAAAAAAAAAATTCGGAGAAAATGTTGATACGGAGATATCGAATAAAATAGACTTTGATATTGCACAACTTGCTACAGATCCTAGAATAAGGAAAAAGATAATTATCTTATTAATATTGTCTCTAAGTTATTTTTAGTATTGGCGTAATATCATAAATCCATAATCGAAAAGTTCAACCTTGATTAAATTTTGTCCACACTGGACAAAATTCCTAACTCCGTCCCTGGTCTCCACCCATTTATTCCCAAATCTTGATAGTTACCAAATATCTAGCAGTCATTACAAAGGATTTCCAATATTATCACAATAAATGGAGAAAGTGATACTTTGCGAGCAAGCTTTCTCAAATATTCTGGCAGTGTGGTTATGTGGGCTGAACTGAAGATCTTCAAAAAATGAACAGCTTGTTTCCTGTCGATTACTAAAACATCTAATTCCCTTCAGAATGCCATTTAAAATAAAGATTGTGTAAATGAAAATTTACCACAAACAGAAAAGAGAAATCATCAGACTTGCATTAGTTGTTGACAGCTTGAAAAGAGATTAGCCAATTCGGAGCCAACTTTGTGAAGCCTTTATGGATGATAAAATACATGAATCAGCTTCAAGATATAACCAGTTTTAACATTCATATGAAAGTAATGGCTAGGTGAATGAAATCTGGCGGTGCACGGGAATCGTTTCAAATAACATATGTCTATATCGCTACTTGATAGATAATGAGGTGGCATGCATTTTTTTTTTTTCACAGCTTTGTTGATTTAAAGGAGATTGATTCTGTTGCATAATAGAACTAGATATCAAGAATATGACAGCTAACTAGTTCTGTAGGCCCAGAATTGATGAATGTTAGCTGTAAAGCTTGTAATTAATATGTGGTCACCAAATTGTAATTAGGGATCGTTTTCTTAGCAACCTTAGATCAGTTTTATTTAAAAGTTCGTCTAGTCAAATAAAGTACTTTCAGAAAATTATTCAAATATATTTAAAAGTATTTTTTTAATTTCAAAAACAACTTTTAATTTTTCAAAAACCCCGTGAGATGAGCCCTTATAGGAAAAAATAGACTTTCGAGGTGCTTTTGAGACCGGAATTAAGATTGTATATCTTTTAGTCCCTTATTGTCGTGTCGAAAATTGACAACATGCGACTTATTCTTTCCTTACAATCGATGTATTAGAAGAAGATTATGTCCACTCAGCCTATTGACACACAAACACATACAGATTTATTAAAAAAAATCCCTTCAACAAATTTATTGGGCCTGACTCTCCTCCGGGCCTCCGCCACAACCCTGCCATAAAAGAGCCATGTGATAACAAATTGAAAGTAATCGTGCTCAAATTGATGACTTTACCCACCACGCACATTCTACCATTGAATTATAACATTTGCAATCTCTACTCTTGTCTTAGATCGTTGGATAGCTAGATTTGTCTTAATTATTCCAATACATTTTGAAAATAAATCTTATTCCATGAATATGATATCTATCTAATGTGATGTATGGCATATATGACAAGGATGAAGTCGAGTTGGACATCCTTCTTTAAATAGATAAGAAAACCCTAATACGCATTGTAAACTTTATAATTTCGTTATCTTACTTTTATTTAAATGCATAAAAACTAAAAAGTACATATTACAATCTCGTAACACACACGTACCTACTTCATTACTACAACTTTGCTATTTGTACATCCGAAGTGTCAACCCCGGATGACACCCCTCTCACAAGAGAGGAGGCTCATAATTATCTTCTGAAGTGGGTGTGAACTCCGGATATACAAATAGCAAAATTTTTATTATTAATTGTCTTATTCCACAGGCGAATGCAGACTGTATGAAGACAAGGTAACCTCTCATGACGTGCATAGTAACTTGGCCGCTGGCCCGCTGCCCACAGTCCCATAGAAATCAGCCTACGGAAACATTAAATCTTGTATATTATTGTGTTATTTTAAACTCAATTATTTGTCCTCTGGCCTATGCTATGAGTTGTAAAATCTTTATATGCAAGAATTATTAACATTTCACTTTTATATTTAAGAAACCTTTAAAAGGTTGAAAAATACTTTTGAAACAAAAAATTTATATTTGAACTTGTTTGGACAATTTTTTAGAAATATTTATTTTGTATGATTAGATGAACTTTAAGAGAAAGATACTTTTCTCAAAAAATTTATCTACAAGAAATAAAACCTATCGAACGGATTCTAAATTTAATTTCTTTATATTGATTGAAGAAACATGTATATATGACATGCACTACTGGACAATACTTAACTAATTCAAACAATTATTAACTTCTGGTTTTTTGTCTAATGACGTCCAAAATGTTGGCCTACTGAACATGCCATGAGACCATTGCACAATTTATCAATTAAAAGCTGAGCATACACGCCTGATTTCTCCTTCCGAGCCTGTCAATACCCCAATCTCGCCCATTTTCACCATTGCTTCTGCAAAATCTGCCTCAAATGATGGCCCTAAAAACGGGCGAAAGAACCCGAAATAGGAGTCCACAACATTTTTTGTTGCAGCATCTTCATAAAGCCTAGCATCAGTTTCTAGCACAGCAAAGCCACTTCTAATGTTCTGCAGAATTTGATTGTCAAACGTTTGGCCACTACCCCGGTCCATAGGTAATCGAGTATTGACATTTCCGTTTTGAGGACAAGTAGCTTTTAGCTCTGATAGGAACCCGGGATTTATCGAGGGGTCTGAGCCACCACCCGCAGTGAATTCGTAAAGCCGATTTGTCATGAAGAAGCATGCTGTTGTCCCAATTGTATGTGCAGCTGAGAGTCATAGTAGTTATCACGTAAATGCAACAGAAATGGTCCACAAGAGTTAATGCAATAAATTGGAAAACACTATAATTAAGGCTCTTCCATCTTCACTATAATTAGATAAAATACAATAAAATATTCTATACATAAATTCAAAACATTTTTTACTTTTTAACCACACATTTGCCAAAAAAATTCTCTATTCAGAACAGTATTTTTTTCAAAAAATGGCCACCAAACAGGGGCTCATTGGTTGAGAAAGTTTTGGTGGGTCTCTACATCTGGATTAGATTTATTCTCCACTAATGGATTGATATAGAAGAGTATCGATGCTAATTAGATCATTCATTATAATTTTTTGATATATACAATTAGACGAGTAATTTAAGATTGATTTTGACAATATTAGTTTGAAGTCTTGCTATCATCTATAAAATTGTACTTCAGTTGAAATTGAATTTAAATAAGTTCTTTCTTGGACAGAGCTTTTCAGTAATTAGTTTTAGATTTATGAAGTGTCACGCATTGCTGAAAACTTGCTCATATCCCTTAAAATGTCTACCGACTAAGAGAACCACAAAATCTGCATGTTTTTGCCTGCATGTTCCTTTCTGTGTGGTGTACGTGCCAGAGTGAGGGAGATACACGTAGATATATATATATAATACATAATAGAGAGAGAAACCTAGAGAGAGAGAGAGAGAGAGAGAGAGAGAGTACAGCTGAGAAGCACAAGGTCCTTCTCCGAGAGCCCTTTCTCTGAAAACTTAGCTTTGAGTGTATCAATGGAGTCGGTAATATCTGGCCTATTATCTGCCAAAGATTTGTTTGACACAAGTCCATCTCTTCTACCGGTCGGAACCTCGTACAGCGGTCCGTTTGTCTGAATCATCAATGCGTGTATATTAGAGAAGGAAAACACACACACACACACACAAGTAAAAATATTATTAATTACCAAAAATACTGCATCTCTAGCAGCCAAGGCTACTATGTCTGCACAAGAAACAATTCCTGGACACGTCGCTTCCAATTGAGCCTTTGCCCTCTCTATAATTTCAAACCCTTGCACTCCTTGATGCCCAAATGCACCCTTCTCGTCAGTTTCGAGGCCAGTGGCTATCAGAATTGACCCATCACAGCCCTGAACAAAATACAGTATATAAAAAGAAACCCATGAATATCAAGAAATATTAATTGCATGCAGAATTTTTAAGTCAGGGAGGGGGGAGAGAGAGAGAGACGTTAACAAAGCAATCGTGGAAGTGAAGTCTAAGCAAGACGGGCGGAGCATTTTGTTCGGAGGCGGCTGCTTCACTGACGACGCGACGGACAATCGATTCGGCGTTGGGGCAGGTGTTGGCGTAGAAGCCAACTTGGAGGCCTTGTGAAGCCCCAATGAAACAACTGAAAATCAGTGTCAGAAGAAGAGGTACCATTTTATGAGTTATGGTTAATATAAATATAGATTATTGTAATCAGCTGTGAGTAGAATTAAAGAAGAGGTGTAAAAATTAATACAAGAAGGTGTAAGGATTGGTTTATATAATTTACTGTCTGTGTATCTTGCTCATATATAATTTGTGAGGTAGATGTAAGAACTTATATATAAAAATGTGCTTTGAGGGGTTTCGGTCTGTTTACATGTGGCGTGGGGGTGGCGTGCGAAACCTAGGTTGAGAGAAAAGTTTGTTCTTATTTGCCACATGGCCCATCGATTTAAATCACGACACTTGAAATTTTGAATCAATCAAATCGAGGTTCCGAATTGATAAGAGATAGAAACAATATAAGTATGAGACATTGAATCGTTACTTTTGAGTGGCTCGAGGTCTCTTGTATCGTGATTAAAATGAACAATCCTACTTCTAGCGGAACCTGTACCTGTATTAGGAGGGTTGAGGTTCTACTTAGAAGGCAATACGTGGACATGCGTAATAAGAATTAAATATTCTTCCTTTCGCAAATTTTAGCATCAAGGCTATATACAGTAAGTAGTATTCAAATGATAAGGATTTTATATTTTTTCTTTAATTAAATTTCGTGACATCCAGTTCACAAACACATGCATCAAGATAACAAGAATAATGTGAATTCAATAAAGTTATATTAAACGTCATCTAAACTTTTTCCCTCAAACTGCTGTAATTAATTGGTATTGGATATATTTTCCTTGCTTGCACGTATATCCAAAAAGGAGTCAAATCATTGTCAAGAGGTAATGCAGACCCACACAGTCACGCTTTAACTGAAAACGTTAAATCGAAGAACTATGCATTACTCTTCCATAAATCTATCGTATCATTATCTATATATTCTGTAAAATTTATTCTCCTTATGTTGTATTTTTAATAAAATTGAAATTTATTTCGTGAGCACGTACCATGAGCCTATCCTTGCGCATGAAAAGAAGACTAAGAGAGAGCTCATCACCTTAGACGAAATAGAACTAGAAAGCCCGTTCCTCTTTCGAGTGTGTTTGGCTCTTCCAGGGGATTGCCCAAGAAAATCCCATCATTTACCCGCAAACAAAATTGGAGCCTTCGATACTAGAAAAATAATCCTAAGTGGTCTACCCTGGGGCAAACCCTAACCGAAAGGAAAAGGGAAGCACTTTTGCTACTAGAAAGAGAAAGATCAACGCCGAGCATTAAGAATAGTTCTACTTGATTTTTCAATAGATAGGGATCCATCAATCTACTATATTAATTTGATATACATTTTTCAATTGTAACATATTCTAGGTATCCAAACTAATCATTTTGATATAAATTTTATTTTTAATATATTCTTGCCAAGGCATGCATGGGAAGGTATTGCAATAAGGGTTATGCCACTGACAAAAAGTGAACAAATGGAGTAATATAATGTTAGTTGGTAAGATATGATTAGATGAAAAATTTAACTATGTTTAAAACAATCTAATGATGAAGCGTCATATGACATTATGTCAATTATTATACAACTGCAGCATGATTCTTACAATAATGCAAGAAAACTTGGAAGTGAAACAAGAGCTCACTTGGATTCAAATGTCAATTATGAAAATAACCAAGGATAAGAATAATCAGCTACCTTTCCAGTTCTTGAAAACATTGGGCAACTCATTTTGTAGACGAGCTGGATAACATTATACCATATTTTTTAAAGGAAAAAAGAAAACAAGAGAAAATCTTGTCTATTGTACTATTGAGTCGCTCCCCAATAGGTTCGTTGCTTTTGACAATCAATAATAAGTTTTCCAAACATAGGGAGGGAGGCACAAGATTCACATCACAAAAGTTTAAAAAAGGGCATCATATAAACTCGAAAAACAAATTCAAAAAGCTCCTATAAGATTTAAAAACTATACTAAGCTCATCAATCGTGTTTACAAGACTAATCAACATAGCATCTGGAAATGAGTAGCCCGATAGAGACCACAAGGCAAGAGTCAAGACAAACATAAAAGTAATTTACAGTCAAGGAACTCAACTCCTATCATATCAGTTCGAGACCCCCACAAAACAACAAAAAAAAAAAAAAAAAAAAAAAAAAGGGAAAAAAAAAAAAAAAAAAAAAAAAAAAAAAGGGTATAAATATGTGCTAAATTCAACTTCACTCCAGATTGTGGAATCAATTCAGAAAATGCACTTGTCCCATCAGGTGATAATTGGTTCACAAGAAGTACTTTGAGAATATTAATCAACAAAACAAATTTTCAGAAACGTAGAATAGATTTATAAACCAAATTTATATTTTCCCGAAAATTCACAAACTTGAAAACTTTGTAGCATATGCATCCTTCAATAATTTTTGCCGTCTCTTTATGACAGAACAAGATGTACATGATGGTACAAAATTTATGTCACCTCTTTTTACAAAATGAAAGCTTCATATATGGCATCTTCCCACATATTACAAAGTCAAAATACATCAAAATATTGGCCACAGATCTCAAAGCTTGCAATCTTGCAAGTCATTAGATGACCCAAAATATAAAGTGAAAGAGGCAAAACCTATGAAACTGAGGGCATGTGATGTCTCATCTTTTTCATGCCATAAAAGGTATGGAAAACCAATCATAAAAAAGAAAAAACAAAATTACTCTACACTACCGGATATATCAAATTTTTTCACCACTACCATTTTGAAATATTAAGAAAGCAATATAAATAGATAATTTACAAGTTTATAAATGTCGCTAAAGTTAAAAGTAAAAAATCACATATAGAAGAATAGTCACCAACATTTTCTCAGACCATTTACCTTTTCCATAGCACAAATTAAGTTGACGTGTCTAGGTAAAATTTCAACACGAGAGTTGCAGTGAGAAATAAATTTTTCCTCTTCAATCCCTTCATCTGAGCACAAGTGATAATAATGGCCTAACGCTCTATATTCATCAAGTATACACTCCATATAAAAGCAAGAAAGAATCGCCACCAGAAACAGTGAGCAAGAGAGAACAAACTGAAATCATTTTCTATGAACAATATCAACTCCCAATAATATCTTTCCAGATATTAGGTGTTTGGAAAGAACAGGACAATGTATATTTTATCATTTTACAACATGAGGCGCTTGAAAAAATCTTGCAATAAGAATTATGTAATAAATAAGAACGATATTTGAACAATCTGGTCTTGTATATATTGGATAATAATTGATTGTCGTTGAAAAGTGTACAATGCTTCTCTATTTATAGGAAAAATTATTTCTTACTTTTTGGAAACTAATACAAGGGAACTAAGATAAATCCTAATCTAAGCCCTTGTTTGAGCCACATTATTTTCCTTAAAACGCATTTTTAAATAGTGTATTGATGGGAAATGTGTGGTGAAAAAATAAAGAAAAGTTTTGAATTTTCGTATAATATTATTTTATTGAAGAATAGGTGATTGAAATAATGTCAAATCACTATTTAAGAATGTATTTTTTTGAAAAAATATGGCTCAAACATAGCCTAAAACAAATTAGAAAGTCTATTCTAAACAAGAAATAAGAATAAAAAAGATATAACATATTAAAATTAGACATCTTACTATAATTATGTGACTTTTATCCTATTTACAATAGAATTGTCCTACATTAGAAAGAATGCTCAGTTTCCTTACGATTGCAGCTTCCCCTGAATATTTAATGAAATACATAATATAGCAGAATCACCAGGCATGAAATGCATAGGTGCCGATCAGGGACAAAGTACTATGCATCAACAAGATGATACAATTAAATTTGCCACATTTCATGTTTAAATAAGAGTACAAGACAGCAGAACTAAATTAGACTAGTGTACAATAATTCTTAACAACACATTTAAGACCTGTGAGACTGTTTATAAGAGAATCCCAACTTTAGATAATAAGAATGACCAGCTTTGAAGGGGGAATGACTTGTTCCAGGTCCCAGGCAACTACGGGGAGAGTAATTATGGAATCAAATGAATAGGCATAAAACTACAGGGATTGTTAACCATATTGCCATTTACAGTTTCAGTAAACAAGGCACAAAACTGAGGCAGATGTCGAATATAGTGATGGCAATAATAGAACTAGTGAAGTGGTCTCAGGAATCAGCAAGCACTCAAATACCAATTTGTTACTTCTAGTGTTTGACAAATATGATATCTAAATGATATATTCGATCCTCTGACCAATGGTTGACAATCTTTAAGTGATAAGACAATCAACAATCCACCTTCCTGTTATACAGAAGCAAAGAACTATTTTTCTGGACCTCCATCAGAAGACATGCCAATGAACTAATAATTCATAATGAAGGCTGGTAAAAAAACATTGCATTAGCAGTCTTATAGGAAAGGCTGTCCATGCAAGCAGTGTATTCAAAAGTGCCCACGGCACCCACCTTAAGGTCTGCCTATATGTGACATGCGCATAGGGGGACCTCAAATTTTGCACATTTAAAAGCTGTGCCATGCAGCTTCTCAGCCTTGCTCTTTTAGATCATTTTTTACCGATCCCACTTTGCTTTAGTCTTTTGGCCATAACATTTATGGGTTCTTTGGGCTGTTTTGAAAGACACCAACCCTCAAAACTAGAAATTATAAAAAATAATAATAATAAATAAATAAAATAAAAGGAACTGGAAGTTAGGTGAGAGAATTAAGAAAAAAGGACATTGTGCCTAGCTCTCTATATCTGCAACTGAAGTGTGATCACCGTCAGCTTTTCAATAGCAGATGATTGTCGGCAGGCCACCAATTTTTGTTTTTTTGATTTTTTTTCCCCTTTTTCTGAAGTGAAAGGAAACAAAAATATTTCAACATCAAAAACTAATACCATGTCACTTCTTTTTTATTTTAATTGTGTTTTGCTACTTGTTTCCTAGGTGTTTTTCCTTTTACTTTCTGAAAACTTGGTTAATCAACATTCGACCAAAATTAATATGTTTCCATTATATTGGCTAATACTTGCATTTATAATAATAAGTGGTTAAACATTTTAAACTTCTTAAAATTGGGCTTGCTTCCTTATTGTGATTTATTTTTTGTGGTTTTGGGTTGTATTCTTGTAGTAATTTGTAATTTTCTATCTATTTATGTTGGGATTAACGCCTCAAAGGAGCCTTAAACCTAGCCTCCCCCTTGATATCTTATTTAGCCTTTTTAAACATTG